GTATACCGCACTATTACTGCCTTCTAGAATAGTGCTGGCACACAATTGGTGATCAGTAAATATTTATAGAATTAATGAATTCTACTTCCATTGTGTAGCAATTCTTCAAATAGTAGTTCGAAATCTTCACAGTTCAGTCCCTACTGTTTGCCAGGCAAGACAAACTTAAAGATAAATTTAAAAGAAGTGTCAAGAGGCAAAAAAAAAAAAAGTAAATAGCATGTATCCATTTTTCTTGAAGAACAGTCTTTGTACATATAACATTTCTGTCAACAGTGGACCACATGTAAGTCTGTAGTCCTGTAAACTCAGTTCGCAGTAAGGGCCCCATGCAAGTATACCATTCTTAATCTTTTATACTGTATTTTACTCTACTTCATCTAGGTTTAGTTATGTTTAGACACACGAATACTATTGTGTTATAGTTGCCAACAGTGTTCAGTAGAGTAACGTGCTGAACAGGTGGAGCTGAGAAATTCCTGTTGCTGGTGATGTCGTAGCCATTGTGATGTCATTGTGCAGTGCAGTACTCATGATTGTGTGGTAATACTGTTGTAAACATACCTGGTGCCTTGCTAGTATAGCAAGAAAAAATATAGAGCACATACAAACATACAATCATATACACTACATAGTACTTGATAATAAATGACTATGATTTATATACTTATATCATATTTTGATCATTATTTTAGAGCATATTCCTTCTACTTACTAAAAAAAGTTTACTGTAAAACAGTATATGCTTGATGTAAGATTATATTTTGTTCATCATGGCCTTGCACTGGGACAAGATATGGAGGCAGAGACAGTGATGTTGATGAGACTAACCTTATGTAGACATAGGCTTATTTACGTGTTTGGGTCTCAGTGTTTTTACCAAAAAGTTTAAAAATTTAAAAAAAAAAGCAGGGATCAGCAGATGGCATAATAGTTACGTTGCTGGGCTCCATGTAGTCGACCGTGGTTCGAGTCCTGGACCTGGGGGCTTAAACTTGCGCCGGGCGCGTGTGTACATCCCCAAGATCCTGAGAGGAGAATGGAGGAGAAGGGATTGCAGCGTGGTCATCCCCTAGGGTATGATTTCTCGCTTTCTATCTGTGTCTCTCTCTGTCTCTCTGGCAAGTGCACATGCAAAACCTCTCAAAAAAAAAAAAAAAAAGAGAGAGAGAGAGAAAAGAAACAAATTATTTTGAGTTCAAATAAATTTTATAACAAAGCATGAATTTTAGCTTTGAACTTTCTGGTATGCTAGGCAGAGACCTTGTGTATATAGTGCCTATTATCTGACAATTGAACATATTTGACAGTTGGTCTAAAAAGAGTATTTCTTGATACTATGTTTTCTAAAAGCACTTTGTCACAGAATCCTTATATAAGGAACCCTTGGAATTATGTAGTGGATAATATTGTTTAAAGTTCGGATGATTCTTCCCTATATAATGGTTTCTTTATTAGATCCTTGCTAAAAGATAAATGCATAATATTAAATAGAACTTATTGGGGCCAGCAGGTGGAATAGTGATAAAGGTGGTGGCTTCCCACATAGTTGACCGCAGTTTGCATCCTAGACTTGGTGGCTTGAAACTCATGCCAGGCACGTGTACATGTGTGCCCAAGATCCTGAGAGGAAAATGGAGGAGAAGAGATTTTGTGACCATCTCCTCTAAGGAGTGATTTCTTGCTTTCTGTCTCTCTGTCTCTGTCTGTGTTTCTAGTGAGTGCCTGCACCCTATTGCAAAAATATTTTTTTAAAAAGTAGAACTTATTAAGGTAAAAGCATTTTTGTGGAACTAGGCATCTATTATGGCTCACATATATTATACTGTCTCTTAATATCACTTAATATAAGGCATATGCCCTCATAAGAGAGAGAGAAAGAAAGAGAGAGGCAAAGTGGAGAAAGTAAGCCTCCAGGTCCAGGACTTGAACTGCAGTTGGCCATGTGGGAGTCCAGCACTTCTACTGCCATGCCACCTCCTGACCCCTCTATTTGTATTCTTTCTTTACTTGTTGCTGTGGTAGTTTTTGGTAAAGGATTGTTAACCACTTGGCATCAGTCATAAAAGATGTTTGCCTATAGTTTCTGATTTTTAATATCATATCCAGATAGACCTTTTAGGACATGCTACTATAAAACTGAAACACATGTTTAATAATGAACTTACTTAGCATTGTCCATTTGAAAAATGGAAAGTATTTTCCAGATGTAGAAATATTGATTTTGGCACGTTGATATTAAACTATTCTTTTTGGTTTATGATAAGGCCAGAATATAATGTTCTTTTCTTTTTCTTTTCTTTTTTTCTTTTTAATGCCAGAGGGTACATGTGCTTGCATAAAAGAGAAAGAGAGGGAATGGGGAGATATACAAAGAGAAATAACCCTCCAAAATGACCTGGTCATACCATAATACTTTTTTCTCCAATTCTGTATCCCATCAAGGCTTGTGTACATGGGTACCAATGGGGCCGATACTCGAATTTGGTAGCCAAGTGGGATCTGGCTTCTTCCAGCAACACTTAACTGCTGTGGTAGGGGAACAGACCTGTGTAATGTTCTTTAAGTCAGCAATATAATACAGCTTACAAGAAGTCTTATAGCTAGAACACACATACACACAAAATGTAAAAACCAGAATTAGGAAAATATTTTTTAAAATAGAAAATCTATATAGTAACTATATTTAACCTAAAATTTAACTCTGAGTTTCCAAAAAGCCAATATGTGAAAGGAAATGTGTCAGTTATATTGTTCTCATTGATGGAAAAAAATTAATTTATCATGTACAATTTTATTTAGAGACTATTTGGTGGTGGGACAAGATGCACCTTCCCCCAATGAAAATATTTCTTTAAACCCCAGAGGGCACATATGTTATGGAAAGAGAGAGACAGCTCCCACAGTGGGGACTGGTCACACTGGAATCCCTTCCCTCCAGTTCTGCTTCTTGTCAGGATCATGGGCATACATGCATTTCTTACATGTTTTTTCAAGTCACTGAGATCAGGGACTCAAACCCTGGTTTGCATCATGGGATCCAGCTTTTGTTGCATAGTGCTTAACTCCTGTGTTGTGATCTGGCCCTCCAGGAAAAATATTATAGCAAATATAGTTATGTTTCTTAACAGTTCAGGTAAGAGCTGACCCAAGTTATTTAAGAATAAATTTAAAAAAGGAAGATTCAATGGGACCAGCTGATAGCACAATGGTAATACAATGCTCTATGATTCTGGATCCATGAGTAGATCCCGGGTTTGCATTCTGAGGCCTTGCTGTACATACAGACTTACACATGCACATGATCCAGGCTGGGGGTGCATCACAGCAATGTCGGGGGTAAGTCTCTCTCTTAATTTTTTGCTAAAGGGTCCATGCACTCACCAGGAGAGAGAGACACACAGAGAGAGCGGTAAAGTAAGAAATCACCTTCCACAGGGGAGGACCACTATCCCTTATCCTCCATTCTCCTCTCAGGATTTTGGGCACACACATACACACACACACACTCACCATGTTTTTCAGCCTGCTGGGTCCAGGACTCAAACTGTGCAGTCAGCCATGTGGGATCCAGTGCCTTAGCCTCCAGTACCTTAAAATGGAAGGTGAAATGGCCTATAGCCTAGTGGTTAAGAGAGTCAGATCCTACGTTACTGACCACAATTCAAATTCCAGCCCCAGCTGCTTGTAAAACACACCAGGTATATGCCATGCATGCCCCAAATTCTGACAGGATAGAGAAATGGAGGAGAAGGGATTGCAGCATGACCATATACAATTGGAAGGGCCTCTCTCTCTCTGATAAATGCATATACCTGCTGACAATCAAAAAAAAAGTTCGAGGTTAAAACCACTTTACAAGGTTGACATTTAATGTAATTCCTATTATTATAAGGTTTATAATATTTTCAAATGTGGTAAGAGCACGAGATAAAGAAAGCCATCTAAAATTAAGGATAGTGGTAGGTGGGATTGAAAACTTGGGCAAAAACAAAGAAGAAAATTTAGAATACCTGAAGTGGAGAATAAGAAAAAGAGCTGACTCAAGATCTGTGTAATTCATTGAATTTAATTTACTTCACAAACAAGCAAAGCAGGGCAGGTTTGGTGGTGCAGTAGTAATACAGTGTTCTGGCAGAGGTGGATCCATATGAAAGACTGCAGGTTTGGCTCCCCACTTGACCTGTCCACACCAAACACTCATGCCCATGATCCTGCCTGGTTGGGAAGGTCCATAAGGCATCAAGGTGTGAGACTGTGGTGAGGGTGCTTGTCTCTCTGTCTGTCTTTTCTCTCTCACTCTTACGAAAAAATGTAAAAGAAAAGGCAAAGCAGAAGTCATCTGAGAGATGACTCTAACTAGTCATATAGACTATCAAACTACATAATCCAGATCTATAGTTCACTGAGAACAAAAAGTAGAATAAACTTTTAAGGAAATATATATTAATGGCACTGTAACTTTAGAAGCTAGAGGTTGCCTTTTCTTTTGAGAAAATGGTTTATTATATCCCCTAAGTACTACATTAGTAGCAGTCCATACATTCTGATATTTTGTGTTTTCATTTTATTTATTGAAAATATTTTGTTTTCCCTTGAGGCTTCATCTTCTTACTCACACATTATTTAGCAATGTGTTATTTTTAAACTATAATAGTTTTCAACTATTTTTCTGTATTAGAGAATGTACCATATACACTTGAAAAGAACATACATTCTGCTGTTGTTGGATGGAATGTTCTATAAATGTCAGTTAGATCCAGTTGTTGATGGTGCTAATAGCCACACATAGTTTCCAAGGTTTCTCTGCAGATCATCTCCATCCACTCAGCCTAACGTGAGAAAGAGCGTGGAGAAGAGTGCTTGGGAGGTTTTTATGACATCACTTCCACTCAAGTTCCATTGGTTAGAACTCAGTCACATGGCTTCACCTAATGGTATGGGAAGCTGGGACCTGTAGTCTAGCTTTTTACCTGGAAAGAAGAAAATGTATTTGGACAAACAGCAGGCAATCTCTTTCTATTCTCTGGAAGAGCTTGTATAAGATAAGAAACACTTGAATCATGGGTATACAGTAGAAATTGTAAAGTTAATGGGGCCTGCTCTTTTATTTGGGGGAAATTTTGTACCTGCTGATTTAATTTAACGGACATATTTGTTTAGGTTTCCTGTTACTTCTTGAGTCATTTTTTTCTAAGTCAATTTTAGGTCTATGTCATTTTGAATAAGTTTTAAAATACATTAACATAAATTCATTGGAAGGATTTTCTTCATTTAACCTCTGTTGTATCAGAAATTAATGTTCTTTCTGTATTTGAAAAATGATTAACTTTTGACTTTTAGTTATTTAATTTTGGTTAATCTTACTAGAGTTTTGTTGATCTTATTAGTCTTTATGAAGAATCATAATTTTTATTTTATTAAATTCTCTTCCTTAGTATTTTCTTCCTCTACTTTCTTTGGGTTTATTTTGCTAGTCTTTTTCAACTTGTAATTTGGGTGCTAAGTTCATTATTTTTAATGTTCTTTTCTAATATATGTATTTAGGGCTATACTTCTCTCTTAAATTTGATTTTGGCTATGTTGCTCCAAGTATTCCTACATAGTACTATCATTATTGTACTTTATTTACATTTATTTCTTCTTTAATTGGCAGAAGGAATGTGCATGAGACACACACACACACACAGAGGGAGAGAGAGAGAAAGCACTTCCTAATTAGGCACAGTCACACTGCAATTCCTTCTCTTCCATTTTACTAGCCTGTGGGGATTTGAGGCATGCACACACATGTGCCTGGCATGTTGTTCAAGCCACCAAGGTTGAGTCAAACTACAGTCATCGATGTGGGGTCTAACTCTTAACCACTAGTATACTTGGCAAGTCCTGATTTCTTCTTTAATAAATAAGTTATTTACTTGTGAGTTTTAATTTCTACAAGCTTGTGAGCTTTAGTCAGGTCTATTTTAGATTATTCATTTAGAAATTAACTGCATTGTTAGAGAATGTGGCATGTATAGTACTGATTTCATAAAACGTATGGAGTCTTGCTTTATGGTCCGTTATATGCATAAGTTTGAGATGTCTTCATTTATTATGTTATTAATTTTTTACAACTTTATGTATTCCTTGTTGTATCATGGGAAACAGAAAATATGATTCCCAGTTTTCAAGTGAGAGCATTAAAATCTAACCAACATAGTAACTTTTCCAAGGTCACAGATCCAGTTAGGCTTATATGCAATCAAAGCAGACACCAGCTATTTAGGTTGTCAGGAAAGTCATGACTTATTTCCCATGCAAAAATGCATCATGACTTTCCCAACAATGCTAAACAATCAGTTTGGTTAACCTTATGTATTGGTTGTCTATCAACCCTGCTTATATGTTTCATTATGATTGTCAAATCTCAGAGGTAAGGATTCATTTTTATTTTAAATAGGGTTTTGTTCAGCCTGCTACACACACCCCTTGATGCCCCACACAGTTTTCCCTGCATATTTAGCATTCAACAGATATTTTTTTGAATTGGAGTAAACCGCTTATGAACAGCATAAATAGCAGACTGAGATTTGAAGCTGCCAGAGCCAGGATTTAAACTGTGGTTGGCCATGTGGGATCTGGCTTCCTTAACCACTGTACTACCAGGCCAGCCCCAGATCTAAATTATTTATAAGTCATAAATATTGAGCTTGATGAAGTTTAACTGAACACACCTATGTAACCAGCTCCTAGACTGAGAAACAGAACATTCCCACCATCCCAGAACGCTCCCTTCTGTCTGTCAGATCTTTATGTGTGCATTATCTTACCCAACATCATGTCTATGAAGTTTATCTCTTTTGTTACATGTAGTTGGCTATTCCTTCCCATTGTCATGACTATTTTGTTTTCTTTAATTAGTTTAACTTTTAATTTACCCTCTCTGGTGAGCACATGTGCAAAACCTCTCCAAAAAACAAACAAACAAAACAAAACAAAACAAAAAATTCAGCTACAAAGTTGAATAGATATTTCACTGAAGAATATATATGGATAGCAAATAAGTACATAGAAGATACTTACCATGATTATTCACTAAAGAAGTATAAATTAAAATTACACTGAGATGCCTTTACATGTCTATTATTGTAGAACAACTAAAATAAAGTTCTACTAAGTGATGGTGATGATTCAGAACAACTGAAACTGTTATATTTTGCCAGTAAGAAAGCAAGCTGGTATAACCTCTTTAGAAAGCAGCTTGTTAGTTTCTTATAAATTTGAATATATTTGGTTCATGACCTCAGTGAATAAAAACTTATGTTTAAAGACCTCTGTCCAAGTGTACAACAACTTTATTCATAATCATTCAAGAAAAAACCCAAATGTCTCTTATCTGCTTAATAAACTAACTGAGATATATCTATAAAATGGAATATTACTCAGCAATAAAAAGAAACTCTTTTTTGTTTGTTTGTTTTTGGACAAGTTTTTGCTATAGGGCACATGCGCTCATCAGAAAGACATACAGAGAGAGAAATCACCCCCCCAGGGGGGATGGCCACGCCACAATCCCTTGACCTCCATTCTCCTCTTGGGATCTTGGGCAAGCACGCACACATGCCTGGCGTGATTTTAAGACACCAGGTCTGGGACTTGAACCTCAGTCAACTACATGGGGGTCCAGCAACATAGCCATTACTCCAACTGCTGATCCCATGAAACTCTTGATACATACAACAACATGGATGAATCTCAGACATTATGTTAAATGAAAACAACAGACTTGGTTGGCCCAATAGCCTACTAGTTAAGGGAGTTAGATCTTCATGACTGTTTCTGATTCCAGTCCCAGAGCCAAAGACTTGAAAAATGTGGAGGGTGCATGCACATGTATGTCCCAAATCCTGACAGGATGAAGAAATAGAGAAGGAATTGTGGCATGACCATACTCCATTAGGGGGTGGTTTCCTCTCTCTCTCTCTCTCTCTCTCTCTCCGTGTGTGTGTGTGTGTGTGTGTGTGTGTGTGTGTGTGTGTCTGTCTCTCTTTTTGGTGAGTCTATGTCCCTTCTAGCCATTAAGGGAAAAAAAGCAAGACTTTAAAAAATGTCACATGCTGTATGATTTCATTTATACTGAATTCTGGAAAAGGCCATAATAGTAGAGGTCCTTAAAGAGTTCGAGGAAAAGGCATATTATGAAAAAATTGTGCGTGGATTTTGGGGGGAATTTGTTACACCAAAATAAACTTTAATTCAATTTTCCATTAACTTTTTTTTCCTGTTTTAAAGAATTAATTTTTACACCTATTATACCACACGTTTTAAACACCAACATATAACTCCCTGATGGCTGCTGCCAGACGGAAAAGGCTCCATTAACTTTTTTGTGAAGTACTCTCTTATATAGGAAAATCAGATAGTGTAAGACAGCGTGTGACCCCAAAGAGGCAGTAGAAAGAAATTTGGGGGGAAAGTAGAATGATAAAACTATTCTGTAACAGTTGTGGTGAGGGTCCAGCAGGTGGCATGGCAGTTGAGGGCGCTGGACTCCCACATGACAGACCATTGTTCGAGTCCCAGACCTGGCAGCTTGCTTTCTCACTTTCCCTCTCTCTCTCTCTCTCTCTCTCTCTCTCTCTCTCTCAACTAAGAATTATCTGGTTCAAAAGATACTGTAGAGATCGAGAAACCTTCCACTCAAAAATGAAAGAATACTATATTTTTCATACGTAACATCATCATAACTTACTTAACTTAATTTGGGTCATTTAGAATTTTGGGGGGGCATGAAAAGTAATACTTTGATATACAATGGAAACAACAAAATCTTCACTATGTCATTTCCTTAGTATAACTTGACATTATGTTCACAAACATAAAAAAAGTTCAATTGGTTTTATATTCTTGCCCCCTTTTTCTCCAATAATATACTCGTTAGTTGTCTTAAGGCCCTTTAAGTTCTATTTAGCCTTCTGTGAAAGTTTCTGAAGTTTGCTTTATGCTCAGAGAGCAAATTTCAGAATGTTTATGAAGACTTGACTAGTCTGAGTATAATTACTTCATGCTTTCTTTATTCCACATTATTTTTAATACATACCAGCATTAAGATGATTAGCAACAGGAATAAGATAATAGAAGAAAATATAACAAAACTAGAAGACTGATTTTAATTTATTGCTTAACCTTAGTTCACTTACTTCTTTTAGGTGGGCCTCAATTTTGCCATCTGTAAAATGAAGGGGTAATATATAATTCCTATAGGCTTTTGTAATTATAAAATTTATATTATAATTTTATATGGCTTTCAATGACTACAAGTTCTCAACCACATTTAGGCTTTCATTTAGTTGTTGACCAAGATCATTTATAGTTCCTGAGATAAAGTGAAGATAAAACTTTGAAAGATTTCTAATATCTTAAAAATCCCTAGTATCTGTTACTTTATCACTCTCATCTGCCTCCTTATAGTGATTGATAATACAAATCTTAAAATGAAAAATATCTTCTTGTTAGAGGAATGACACTAGAGAAAAACAAAAATTCACAGCCAGAATGGGAAGGGAGAAAGCCAGATAAGAAAAGAAGGAGGTGACAGGTGTAAAAAACAAAACCTGGGTTTCAAATTCTGCACCCTGAGCCCTGATTAGCAGCTGGCTCTGTGTAATTCTCGAACTCAGGGTTGTAAGATTTATTAGAATTAATACAGGAGTAAAATTCAGGTCCAGGAGCTGGCAGGTGGTATGGTGATTAAAGCACTGGACTCCCACATGGCTAATTGCAGTTTGAGTCCCGGACCTGGTGGCTTGCTTTATCACTTTCCCTCTTTCTCTCTTTCTGGTCCAATGAAAAGATAATGATAATAAATATAATTAAATTTTAAAAATTATTTTTTAAAAATTCAGGTCTCTCGATCTTTGGATTAATGTCTTAACACTATTTTGTTACATCATTTGAAACATATGTAAAGAATGGATAAAGTGAAATGGATATGTGTAAAATAACTTTTAATAATTTGTTTGTATAGGTTTTTTTAACCACTTAACGTATTTTCTGGCTGTTGGTGCTTTTACTTTGGGAATTGGTTTCTTTGCTTTGGCGTCAGCTTTGTGGTTCCTGATTTGCAAACGAAGGTAAGTGTATTAGAATATTTAACTTTTTTCTCTTACAAATTGAATTAGAATCAAATAACTATAATAGTACTGATTCTGTAATTTGGGAGTTCGTTACAGACCCTTTGGTTGGGGAAAAGAAGCTTTATATATCTTAAATAGCCTGAAAAGAGAAGTAGTAAAATAATAGCAATCTTCATGTATTAAAATTTTGAGGAACAAGACTTATTTTATTTTCTAGAAGACATGGGTTTGATTATGAGGCTAGAAATTAAAAACATTTTTTGACTCCCAGTTTAGATGTTAAAAACATTACTGAGGGAAAGACAGTCTTTTCTTTAGGAGACAGTTTTTAAAAGTGCTGACAGAGGTCCAGCCCCAGTGATGCAGATGGGAGGGTACAGCTATTGGTGACTGAGGACACGTGGGAGATCCAGGTTGGATTCCTTCCCAACCTAAACAGGCTGGGCATGATGACTGTGTCTGTGGTCTAGCTATCTGGGATGCGGGGGCAGGAGAATTATAACGTGGTGAAACCCCATCAGAAATACTTGTCTCCTGGGTCCAGCGGGTGGTACAGAGCTTAAGGCAGTTGGATCTCAGACTTGAGCAGTTTGAATCCTATACCTGGCAATTTGAAAAAAAACACACCGGGTACATGTGTGTGTGTGTGCCCAAAATCCCAAGAAGAGAATGGAGGAGAAAGAACTGCAGCATACCCATCCCTCCTAGAGTATGATTTCTCATCTTCCCTCTCTCTCTCTGTCTCTCTCTGGCTAGCACATACATTCTGGGGGAGGAGGGGAGTGGGAAGGAAATCCCTAACTCCCCTGCCTTCTGTTTTTCTCTCATAAAAAAATAAAACAAAGCAACAGAAAGAGAATGACAGAATACTTTGTTATGATCTAAAGATAGTCTCTTGCCAGAAACAGAAAAAAAGATTACTTAGCACCTTAATTTCTTTCAATTATAAAATTCCGCTGTTTCTAATTATTTAATCAGTTCAGTATTTACATTGTAACATGATCTTCCCACACACTCTTTTAGTGTTCCCTATCTCAGCAAATGAATACAAGCTACTCCTCCACATGCAAACGTCAGTTTAGGAATTATTCATTACGTATTCTTCCAACAAATAGTTATGGGTGCCTGCCATTGTTCTAGGTATTGAGGGTACACTTGTGAACAAGGCAAGGAAGTCTCCTGTGTCATAAGGCTTACAGTGCCACTGGTACAGGACAGATAATGAACAAATAAAGTGCCCAGTGTGATTTTCAAGCTGCCTGGTCCAGGACCCAAACTGTGGTTGGCAATGTGAAAGTCCAGCACCTTAACTTCTATGCCACCTGCTGGCCTCATATGTAGCCTTTTTAAATTAGTTTCTTTCACTTACTGATATGCATTTAAGTTTTCTCCATGTCATTTCATAGCTTGATAGCTCATTTCTTTTTAGTGCAGAATAATATTCTAGTGTCTGGAAGCAATATATTTTTAAATCCTTATATATATATATATATAATTTTTTGAGAGGTTTTTGCTATAGGGCGCATGTATTCGCCAGCCAGACAGAGAGAAACAGAGAAATAGAAAGCGAGAAATCACCCCCCACTCCAGGGGGATGGCCATGCCGCAATCCCTTCTCCTCCATTCTCCTCTCGGGATCTTGGGCACACACGCACACGCACCCGGCGTGAGTTTAAGCCACCGGGTTTAGGACTCGAACCACAGTCGACTACATGGGAGTCCAGTGACATAGCCATTATGCTAACTGCTGGTCCCTAAATCCTTATATTTTAAAATTTAGAATGACTGAAACTAAATTCCCTTATACTTGACCGTCTTTGATCAGCTGGGGTCTTGCTGCTTCATTATTTTTAACCCTCTCACTTGTTCGTGGTTGTATAGATAACAAAAGATCACAGGTATTCTTTCATTGTAAGTCACTGTTTTCAACTCAGTTTCCTTCTTACTTTTAGCCAGAAATAATATTGAATATTGAAATTGACCAGTGAATTGCATTTATTTATCTTTGCCATTAAAGACAAATTTATAAAAAAGCTAATTAACATGAAAACCGATTAATTATCTCACAACCAGAAAGAAACATATCAAAGATTCCTGGTTACTAGTCAAGCTAGAAATATTAATCTTGCATAAGTAGCTTAATTTTGTTCCACTAATAAAGTATAATGAAATTTGAACAAATGAGAAAGGAGTATATGACTTGTACTCTTAAAAATAAATATGCTGTATCATGGAATGTCTTGGTTACCTTCGAATAATGAGGCAATAGTTTATAAAGTATTATCTAGAACTGTGATTCTCACTTTTGAACTAGAGGTCATCCATAAGTAAAGAAAACGCCCCCCGGTACATAACAACATAGGCTATTACAAATTTTTTATGCACAAAGGTCATAGGGATAGTTTATTTGTAACAATTAGAGATCTTTTCCAAAGAAAAATTGGAAAATAAAAATTTATATTTATATATTAATATTTATTAATAAAGGTGTGGTGCTATTAGTTATTAATATGGCATATATATCAATACAGATATATGTGATTGAACCATAACACACATCCTCTGAAGATCTATTAGGTCATCGGAAAAGTCATGATATAATTTTCTGTTTTTCTATGCAAAAATGCATCATGACGGGGCCCAGCAAGTGGCATGGTGGTTATGGCGCTGGATACTCCCACATGGCTGACCACGGTTCAAGTCCCAGACCTGGTGACTTGCTTTCTCACTTTCTCTCTCTCTCTCGCTGTCAAATTAAAAAAAAAAAGAATAAATAAAAAATTTTTTAAAAATGCATCATGGGAACCAGCAGTTAGCATAATGGCTATGTCGCTGGACTCCCACATAGTCAACCGCGGTTCGCGTCCCGGACCTGGTGGCTTAGAACTCACGCCAGGCGCGTGTGCGTGTGTGCCCAAGATCCCAAGAGGAGAATGGAGGAGAAGGGATTGCGGCATGACCATCCCCCCTGGGGGTGATTTCTTGCTTTCTGTCTTTATGTCTCTGTCTGGCAAGCGCATACTCCCTATAGCGAAAACCTCTCCAAAAAAAAAAAAATGCATTATGACTTTTCTGATGACCCAATAGTTATTTTTATTATAATTTCTGATTTATATAAAATAGTTGCACAAGTTTATGGGGTACAATGTACATTTTTGGGGGGTTGGAGGTGATGTGCACTTTCCGAGAGAAAGAAAAAGTGAGGAGAGGAAGAATGCTCCTTCCAGTGGTGTATGGTCTTGCTGTAATCCCTTCTCCCCAATTTCTCCATCTTACTGGGATTTGGGGCACACATACACATGCACCTAGTGTGTTTTTCTTTTTTTTGGAGAGGTTTTGTTTTGTTTTGTTTTGTTTTTGCTATAGGGTGCGTGCGCTCGCCAGACAGAGAGAGACAGAGAGATAGAAAGCGAGAAATCACCCCCCAGGGGGGATGGCCACGCCACAATCCCTTCTCCTCCATTCTCCTCTTGGGATCTTGGGCATGCACGCACATGCGCCCAGCGTGAGTTTAAGCCACCGGGTCCAGGATGTGAACCACAGTCGACTATGTGGGAGTCCAGCAACATAGCCATTATGCTAACTACTGGCCCCAAATTTGACAACTTTTTAATGTTCATTCTATTCGAGTGACTTAATTGTAACAAACAATCTTATAGTTAAAAGTCAGTTAACTGAATAAAATTTATCTTAACAGCAAAAAAATGCTGAAATTATTCTGATTTTTAAATCTTTTTATTATAAATAATTTCACTTATCTTATAGTATAACTCATGCTTAATAATATTCTCTATAAAATATTTTTCAGAGAAATATTTCAAAACTACAGACATAAAGCAACTAATGAGAAATGCAGCCAAAGGCCACCAAAAGCAAAGATTAAGTCGCATTCTCAGTGTGTTTTTATTTCTCGAAATTTTCATACTGGAAGATCACAATTGCAGGTACAGTGTAATATTTTATGGCAATCTTTTCAAATATTTTCTTTTGATACTATGTCTTTAGCATCATTGTCTTTAAATTTGAAGGACAGAGGTTTTTTTTTTTTTTTTTTTTTTTAATTTGACAGACTATCCAAACTTGTTAGAGTTTATAGGAAAACTAAAAAATAATTCAATGAAAATATACCACCTTCTACATTTGCTTCTTCCTATCTTTAGCCCAAGAACCTACATTCCGCATACTGGGATTGTTACAGGAATATAGGAAGATAAATAGCAGAAGAAAAACTGAAAGCAAAATTACCAGGCCTGTAAGAGGGAAGAGATTTGGGGATTAGAGGTGCTCAGGTAAACTGATCACCTATCTAAATCAACTAATTAATATAAATTCACTTCAACAAGGATTTATTAGAACCTTTACTATCTCCCAAGCTCTGGAACCCCTGTTCTGGAGAGTGAAAGCTGATGCCCACCTTTAATTGCTTCTGTAGGACAAGTGACACATTAATATAAGACGTAATATAAGACACAAATATCTTTGTGCATCGCAATTTCAAAACAGTGTTAAATGGACAAAGAAAAACAAGGCAGTGACCAGTAGGAATGTAAAACTGTGATATAGCTAGGCAAAAAATATTTTAGTGATGTTATAGCATTGATAGTGACAGTTTCATTTATTTGTTTAATAAACATTTATTGCGTATCATATGTATGGCAGCAGCAGGTTTGCCACTGAGGCTATAAGCCCAGCAGCCATAAATGAGCCCAAAGTTAGTAAACTAATAATTACGACATCATGTGATAGGAGCTTACAAAGTTAAAGATGTGCAGATAAGGGAGCCGGAATTGAGGAGGGCCTTGAAAAGAATTTTGAGCTGCGTTTTGAGAAATGAATAGAAGTTTTCCAGGAGAAAGAGAACATATGTCATCCATGTTCAAAGGTTTGCAGCTCTAAGAGGAAGAAACACTTTTTGTAAAAACGCTATGTTTAGAGCCCAGGATTCATAGAAAGAAGTGTTAGGAAAAGACCCTGGACTTGAGATTACAATAAACCTAATTTTCATTTGCACCCTAAAGATTTTGGATTTTACCCCATGCACTGTACAGACCCACTGGAGGCATTCTAAGGAATAAGGTTAGGACCACAGTCTATAGAGCCAGATCACACAGATTCGAATCCTACCTCTACCACAACACTACGAGCTATAAAATCTTAGGCGAGTTTACTTAACTTCTCCGGGTTTCAGTTTCTTATCTGCAAAATGAGGACAATTTCACCTCCATAGAGTTGTCATGGGATTAAGTGAATTAGTACATGAAAAGTATTCATTATAGTGCCTGGCGCCATAGTCAACAACCTTAAGTATACTATATTATTATCAGAAGGTTTTAACCAGGTGGATATAGGATCAAGTTCATTCTGAGTCAGCCCCATAGCCCGGTGGTTAAGCACTGTGCAAAGAAAGCTGGATCCCACGTGACCCACGTTGGCTTAAAAAACACTCCAGGGAGGGAACCAGCAGTTAACGTAATGGCTATGTCGCTGGACTCCCACGTAGTCGACCGTGGTTCACGTCCCGGACCCGGTGGCTTAAAACTCCAGGCACGTGTGCGTGCGTGCCCAAGATCCCGAGAGGAGAATGGAGGAGAAGGGATTGCGGCGTGACCATCCCCCCTGGGGGGGTGATTTCTCACTTTCTCTATGCCTCTCTCTGTCTGTCTGTCTGGCGAGCGCACGCGCCCTATAGCAAAAAACCTCTCAAAAAAAAAAAAAACACTAAACACTCCAGGGAGAACTGAGCAACTGCCAAAGTGGTATCTGCCCCCAACAACAGATGCCTGCAAATCTTTACATCCCTGAGAACCCACGGAAATCCCACGACACCTGCATGGGCAGCTGCAGTGACTGAGCATGAGCGCTGCGATACTGGCTGGCACCCAAGCCCATGCGGCATTGTACGGCTCTGCACTGTAGAGGGACCACCTGTGGGAGGATGGTTCTAAGGAAGAGAGCCTGGCAAGGGAGTGCACCCTCCTCTTCCTGCCCACAAGAGACTGAGGAAAATAGATGTCCCCCAGCTGACTAGGAGGCCTGCACTTGCACTTCCCTTCCGCAACATGAAATGCCAGAAACAGACCCCTGACACCTCTGTGTCGCCTGCATTACAGCTTCTTCTGATCTCAGCAAACTGTTAGTGGAAGAGGAAAGGAAGGGAGGGGCAGCCGATGGAGAGCAGGGTGTTGAGGCTCGCCTCCCCTGGGCAGAGTAGAGGAGATGGCACAATTTGGAGGCTCCTCCTACAGCAGTGGTCCTCAACGTTTTGACCAGGAATCTGTTTGGTGGAAGATAATTTTTCCACAGACAAGAGTGGAGATGGTTTCAGGATGATTCAAGCACACTACATTTATTGTGTGCTTTATTTCTATTGTTATTACATTGTAATATATAACAAAACAATTCTACAATGGTAGGGTTCTCCTGTGAGAATTTAATGCTTCTGCTGATCTGACAGGAGGCTTAACTCAGGTGAAACCTGAGCAATGGGGGAGCAGCTATAGATTAAGTTGAAGCTTCACTCACTTGGCCACTGCTCACCTCCTACCGTGTGACCCATTAGGAACCAGGCCAGGGACCAGTACTACTGAGGACTGTGCACCCCTGCCCTAGAGTCTGCCCCCCCACCCCCCGCCAACCTTTGCTGGCTCCTGCTAGCACTGTGTAGGCCCACCCAGAGTGGCCTCATGCCCATAGGCCCCTGTTAACATTGAGGAGGTCCATCTGGAGTATTCTTGCTAGTGACTCAGAGGCCTTTGCAGAGTGACTTTATGCCCCCACTGGCTCAGCTAGTGCCCTGTAAGTGCCCCCTCACTTCTGCTAACCCTTACTGGTGGCCTGGAGGTACACCAAGAGTGTACCTGCACCCCAGAGGGCTACCTAGAACACTGCCGTGCCCCCACTCACTCCACTAGCACACATGCACTCCTCTTTAAATACAATTATGTGTATTTCTATTATGTCAACTTTTGCTTCATGTACTTTGAAAGCCTATTGCTAGATGCATACATATTTAGTATTACTGCATTTACTTGACATAGTGATCCTTTTACTTTATTACAATATTACATATTGTAATATGCCTATCTTCATTTCTGGTAACACTCTTTAAGGTCTTCTCTGTCTTAATATGGTCATTCCAGCTTCTTTTTGCTTAGTATTTGTAGAATTTATCTCTTGTCACCCTATTCTTTCTACCTATGTGTTTTCATTCATTCTTTCTTTCTTTTTTGTTTTTGTTTTTGTTATAGCTATAGAGTGCTAGGTTGTATGTGCTCACCAGAGAGAAACTGTCAGAGAATGAGAGGCAGAGAGGGAAAGTGAGAAATCACCCCCCAGAGGAGATGGCTATGCTGCAATCGCTTCTCCTCCGGTCTCCTCTTGGGGTCTTGGGCATTCATGCACACGTGTCTGCCATGATTTTAAACTGCCAGGTCTGAGACTTGAATCAGAGTTGGCTATGTGGGATCTAGCCACCTTAACCTCCATGCCACCTGCTACCCCTCTTTCTACCTTTCTTACATTATATGTAAGCTCTTTTATTTAAATGTCATATAGTTGGGTCTTGCTTTTTGGTCCAGTGTGACCATCTCCACTTCATCAAAGGTGTGTCTAGTCAGCTTATATGTAGTATAATTATTGCTATGACTATGTTTAAGTCTGCTCATGGTGATACTTGTTTTTGATTTCTCCCACTCCTTTTCTGCATCCTTTAGGGTGCATTGTATATTTTTAGAGTCTATTTTATCTTCTGTGCTATTGTTATTTTGAGTCATTGCTCTAGAGATTAAAATATATATCTTCACTCAACCATGGTGGCACATGCTGCTTAGATGTTGTGCTGCACAGACTGGGACCGGATGGGAGGCACAGGTTTGATTTCTAGTCAAAATTAATAAAATGTACATATATATTAATATATCTTTAATATATCTTTAAGTCACCAGAATCTACTTTAAAGTGTTTTTTTTAAATAATTATTTTTAATTTTATTTATTTTTTTTTTTTTTTTTTTTTTTAGTTTTGACCAGAGAGAGACAGACAGAGAGAGAGGAAGTGAGAAACCAAGCCACCAGGTCCAGGACTCAAACTGTGGTCAGCCATGTGGGAGTGTCCAGCCCCTTAACCACCACACCACCTGCTGATCCCTGAACTACTTTCTTTTTTTTTTTTCCATTACAACTTGTTTTTATTTTACATCTTTCCACAAACATTTAATGAACTACTTTCAAATAATAAAACAGTACTTCATGAATAAAAACTTTCCCAGAGTATAACTTATCATCTCCTACCCTTTATGCTATTGATACATTTCAGTTTTACATATGTTACAAACACCAAGTTACATGTAGTTATTTTTCACTTTAAAATTTTCATCTGCTAATTCTAACACCTGGGACATGCTTCTTTTTTTCTGAGACTTCACCTATTAATAAGTTAGATAATTTGATATTGTTTTATGGATCTCAGACATTATATTTTTTATAAGTCTTCCTTTTGTTGAAATACTTTCTATTGACCTGTCTTCACATTCACTGATCCTTTCCCCTGCTCTATTCAATATGCTAAATCTACTTAATGAACTCCTAATTTCTGATAGTTCATTGATTTCTAGAGTTTTAATTGGATTATTTTTCATATCTCATTGAAATTTTTCATTTTTACATGTGTTTTGTTTACCTTTTGACTATATTTTTAGCATCTTTATCAGTTGTTGATCTTCTTGGGCTGGTCAGTAGTATGGTGGTTGAGGCAGCTAGATCCCACATTGCTGGCTGCGTGGTTCAAGTTCTCGACCCAGCGGCTAGAAGAATACACCAAGTACATGTGGGTATGCGCCCAAAATCCCAAAAGGAAGAAGAAATGGAGGAGATGGGGCTGCAGCATGGCCATCCCCGATGAAGGGGGTGCTTTATCACTTTTCCTCTCTCTTTCTCTCTTTGTCTCT